CCCTGGTGCCCAGCAGCCTACACTGGCCACATCCTGGGCTAGATGGTGATTCAACTGGATGGAGCCTTCAGGGGCTGCTGTTATGAGGCTCCAGGGCAGGGCTCACTGGAGCAGATGCTGGGCAGGGTGTCCTGTCCACCAGAGGGTCTGCCTAGACTTGTAGGCTTCTGGGATCCTGAGCTCCTGCCCTTGTCTTGTATTGCTGGGCTAGCTCAGGCCTCCATGGCCTGACCACCCCCCAATAGCACCTGCCACGCAGCAGGGTGGCCACCCATATTAAGTGTGTCTGCAGCACTCAGCACAGCACCTGGCTAAAGGCTGAAGGGGAAGGTGAGTGGATAGCCCTCAGGTGAGGCTACCATCCAGGGCCTCCAGTTCTTTAGCTGGTCAGGCCTCCCCCCTGCCAGCCTCCATGTCTATAGCTTGGAAGGTGGCCTATTTTGGGATGCTGTGCTGGCTGGGAACTTTGGGGGGAATAGAGCTCAGGTTAGGCATTGGGGGAGCTAATGCTTTACTGCCCAGCAAGGCCTTTTAGCACCCCAGTGCCAAGGTGCTGAGAATCCTTGGCCTAGGGCTATGAACAAGTAGCTTCCCCCCACCGTGCTTCATTTTCCTCATCTGTTCATTGGTAAACTTGACCACCCCCCAGTAGAATTACTCAGACTGGGAGGCTCCTAGCCTGCTGGCTCTGGGTATGCCAGCATTTCATTGTCTCAGGGTGAGCCAGGCCTAGGTGGGCAGGGGCAAGGAGAAGGGTTAGAGGGCCAGAGGCAGCAACAGGCATGATCAAAAGGCCAGTGGCTCTGTCCCAGTCATAGTGTGGGCTCAGTTTCCCCCACCCCTGCATGAGGCTGGGCCTGGAGCCACCTCAGCCCAGGTGTAGCACCCTCCCATGTGGCGGGCGTCCTTGCCCAGCCAGGGGCTACCCACAAGACATTCAAGGTCCCTTGAGGGCTGTCCCCGGGGAGCTGCTACCACCCTCATTTCCCCAGCATCTACAGACCCAGAAAGGACAGGAAGCACATGGGAACAAGAGCTGACCCTGCACGTGACTGTGAGCTGGAGGACGGATAGCGAGCGGGAGTGCGTGTGAGAAGTGAGTGAGGACAGGCAGACAGATGGACGGGGGGTGGGTGAGTCAGGGATGGAAGGCCAGCAGGAGTGGGGAGCAGGTGCCGGGAGGGGTGCCCTGACCCTCTGTGGCGTGGGGATGGCATAGGCCCACCACCCCCGCCCAGAGCTATTTCTGGCCTTAGTGTGCTGAGCTATGGCCTCCTGTTCTGCCTCATAACTGTGGTCTGTGACGTGGCCGCTTCACGGGGACATGGCTGGTGTGTCAGAGCTGAATGACATCCCAGCTGTGCTCTGGCTGCTCATCTCCGCTCCCCAAAGCCTCTGCCCCAGCACTAGGGAGCACGGCTCTGAGCTTCCCTGGAGGGCCAAATGCCACACACCTGTCCTCACAAGCGGCCTGGCCCCAACACCTTTGTGCCTGCCCTCCTTCGTGCCCAGGCCATGGTCCTTTGTGCTTGGGCTGGACGCACCTTGAGGCCCCTCTAGACCTTACTGTGGCTCCTTCCTTGGCCCAGGGCAGGGCAAGGCAGGACTTCACACTCACTCCAGTGCCTCAGCTTTCTAATCTGTAACATAGTGCTGCTAGGACCCTCCTGACAGCCCCGTGGGGTGGGTGTCCTGCTGCCCCACTGTAGGTGGGGGCACTGAAGCTGAAGGCACAAAGCTGGTGAAGGATGAAGGCAAGTGCTCTGGGTCTCCAAAGCTGCCTGCCCTCTACCATCCGTCTCTTAGCCTGTCCAAGTGGCAGCAGCGTGTCTCTGGGAGATATTGCAGGGCCCCAGGAGCTGTGGAAACTGGAGAAGACACCAAAGATGGCCATCTCATACAGGACCTGGCTCCCACTGCAGCTCTATGGGCTGCTGATGTGTGCTGCTGACTTCAGCAGCCGCAGGCCTGCCTGCTGGCTCCTATGGCTGGCGGGCAGGTCCCCAGAGCTTCCCGTCCCACATCCCCCCAGCCCCTCCCCTTTTCTGCTCTCCCTTCCTTACCACCCTCCCCTGAAGTACCTCACAGCACCCTTTGCTCACTATGCCTACTGCCTGCATTGGGGGAATGTGCCCATACCTGCGTGCCCACCCATCATCCTGGGCCTTTAGCCTCGTGGTCCAGGTCCTGTTTCCCTGGGAAAACTCAGAACCTTCCAAGCAGAGCTGGCCAGCCCTTGTGTCCCTCCTGGCTCCCAAGCCAGGCCTGGGCTGAGACTGTAACCTCATGCTATGCCCTAGCCCTGACTCCCGTCCTTTGGGAGTGCCCTGGAGGAGACACTGAAGCAGAGGAACAAGAATCAGCCTTTGTGTGGAGCTTAGAGGAGGGGGAAGAGTGGTGAGGCTCAAGGCTAGAGAGAGCCAGTGGGGCCTGAGCAGGCTCAGGTGGGCACAGGATGGGCCTGGGTGGGGCAGCTAATGCTGGGGTGGGGGAAAGTGTGCTCAGAGTGCTTTCCCTGTGGGAGCAGGGGCCATGGCAAGGCTGTTTGCTCACCATATATGTGCAGTAGAGGGGCAAGCTCACACTCAGAATGGGGACCCAAATGATACTGGGTGAGAGTGGAAGGTGGGGCCCTGGCAGGGGTGGCCAGGCCCATCTCTAGGACAGACTTGCCGGTCAACTGGGGACAGAGAAAAGAGAGAGGAACATGGAGGCAGACCTGAAGCCCAGAGTGGCCTTGCGGCCCAGGGGCTGCACAGCCCAGAGCAAAGGTTAGGGCAAGAGCCAGAGAAACTTTCCAGGCAGATCCAGTCTCTGGGATATGGTCAGGGGACGCTCTCCCATGACCCAGCTGAATCTCCCCTGTCCCCAGGGCCCCTGCTCTGAGTACAAACCCATGCTGAAAAGTTGGGTTTGATTATCTCATAAAAAGATGTCCCCCTCCTGCTCACTCTGCAGAGGGGTTGCCATGGAGACCAGTGGGCAGGCCCCAAGGGGGCTAGGCTCGAGCCAATTACAGCAGCTGCAGCGGGAGAGAGCCCACCTCACCCAACTCTCAGAAGTTGTTTCCGAAAACCAGTCTTCTCCGCAGGGATAGTCATCGGTGCCTTTGCTCCTGATTCCTTTTTCCTGGCAGTGCTGAGTGCCAGGTGGCTGCCCCCAACATCCTCCTGCCCATTGAGGCTCCATCCTGGAGCCTAGCCCAGGGCATTCTTAGAATGGACCCAGCAGTCTTGAGAAGGGGGAGATCCCAATGCACAGACTCAGTTCTGGGGGAGTCAACGGAGCCCCAGCACCAGGCCACTCCCAGCTCATGCCTTCAGGCATAGGAGCCACTTGGTCCTGATGTCCTGGTTAAGGTTATCAGGTGTAGTAGGCATCCCGTCTTGGTGTGGTTGGTGATGAGGCAGTGCGGTCCTAAGCCTGCCCACAGTGCCTGGGTCCTGCCCACCCAACTGAGGTCCTTCTGCGATCCCAGAGCAGGAAATGATTATATATAGTGCAGGAACAGCTGATGAGGGCCTGGGGGGAGCTGGCATGATCTGGCATCACCTTCCCAGGGAGGTACATAAGAGGGAGTGGCAAGGATGGCAACAATTTACATCAAACATTGGGCTGTGGCCTCCCTCACATGGCTCACCTGGGGAGGAGAGCCCAGGCAATGGGGGTTCCTGGGCTGGTTGTCCCCCTTTGAGGCCCCATCCTGGGGCTACAATTCCCTAGCAGCCAAAAAGTGGCCTGAGGGGTGGCAGAGGAGGCCCTTAGGCTGTGGGGAGCGGAGTCTTTAGGACTTGGGGACCAGATCTGAGGACATTCCGGCCTGGTGACCACTGCATCTGCAGGCACTGGGATTAGGATGTTTGCAGTGGCCCAGGCAGACAGGACTCAGTGCAGCAGGTGACCAGGGTCACAGTTCTAGGTGGGGGGAGCTGGCATATTGTCCTCTCCTTCCTCCCACCTGGCTCCAACCCCAGCACTTACCCTCATGTCTGCAGAATCCTGTTCTTAGCCAGCTGCCAGGGAAGGTATTAGCTGTCAACGCAGGTGTTAGCTGTCAAGGAAGGTGTTAGCTGATAACTCAAGTGTTAGCTGATAAGCCCTAACCCTCCCAGGGGGTTCACATTTCAATAGACTCACTCCTGAAGGCAGAAAGAACCTTCAACTTCAGCTTCGGAGAGGAGGATAGAAAGGGAGGATGCTGAGAGGCAATGAGGCTTACTGCTGGGGCCTGTGGCCCTGCTCCTGAGATCAGGTCTGGACATACCATCCCAGCAGAGGCCTACTGCTGATATAGGTACAGAGTGAAGCCAGGTGTGTCTGGCCCCTCAGTGGAGGAGGAGAAGCACCCACCAGGAAACTGTCGCTGCTGAGGGTGCATCTGGGTGGGAGGGGTGAGGGCAGCTCAGTAGTGCAGGGATTGGCTGGGGAGGAGAGCACTCCCTGGGTGGATATGGAGAGAGAATGAGGCCAGGGGGCGGAGGCTTCAGGAGGCACCCATGCCAAGTCAGGAAGAGCCTGGAAGGATGGGGGGGGAAGTGCTCCTCCTCCCAAGCCAGGACCCATATGTCCTCCTCCCTGATTGTGCCCACTCCTGTTTATGGGGTAGCTGGGGTGGTGGTAGCCCCATTATTTCCCAGGCCCAGTTGATGTGGGGACCACCTGGGGCCCATGCAGGGTTAGGGGGCCCTCTGTGTTCACTGGAGTCCTAAGAGGTGACTGCAGCTGTGAGCACCACCAATCCCAGGAGGTGACACAGTGGGCCAACCCTGAGTGTGTGTGAGCACTGGAAGGCCAAAGGAATCTGCAGTAGGGCTTCCTGGGGTGGAACATGTGGCTCCCAAGGCACATTACAGGCCTACATCATCAATGTGGCATGTGGAGCAGGGGTCCCAACACCTCCAAGCGCCTCCTGAGGCCCATTCCCCACGGGCCAGTCTCCAGCATGCCCTTGGGCCTCTTGGGGATCTCTGCAGGCTAATCCTCCTGTCCTCTGCCTGCAGGAAGCCAGCTGCTGGCATGGGTGCTGTGGCTGCAGGCCTGGCACGTGGCAGCCCCATGCCCAGGTGCCTGTGTGTGCTACAATGAGCCCAAGGTGACAACGAGTTGCCCCCAGCAGGGCCTGCAGGCTGTGCCTGCAGGCATCCCAGCTGCCAGCCAGCGCGTCTTCCTGCACGGCAACCGCATCTCACACGTGCCAGCTGCCAGCTTCCGTGCCTGCCGCAACCTCACCATCCTGTGGCTGCACTCTAACTTGCTGGCTCAGATTGACGCTGCTGCCTTCACCGGCTTGGCCCTCTTGGAACAGCTGGACCTCAGTGACAACGCTCAGCTCCGAGCCGTGGACCCCACCACATTCCACGGCCTGGGCCGCCTGCACACACTGCACCTGGACCGTTGCGGCCTGCAGGAGCTGGGCCCAGGCCTGTTCCGCGGCCTGGCCGCCCTGCAGTACCTCTACCTGCAGGACAACGGGCTGCAAGCACTGCCCGACGACGCCTTCCGAGACCTGGGCAACCTGACACACCTCTTCCTGCACGGCAACCGCATCCCCAGCGTGCCCGAGCACGCCTTCCGGGGCCTGCACAGCCTCGACCGCCTCCTGCTACACCAGAACCGTGTGGCCCATGTGCACCCACACGCCTTCCGCGACCTCGGCCGCCTCATGACTCTGTACCTGTTCGCCAACAACCTGTCCACGCTGCCTGCGGAGGCCCTGGCACCCCTGCGCTCTCTGCAGTACCTGCGGCTCAACGACAATCCCTGGGTGTGCGACTGCCGGGCACGCCCACTCTGGGCCTGGCTGCAGAAGTTCCGGGGCTCTTCGTCCGAGCTGCCCTGCAGCCTGCCCCCACATCTGGCTGGCCGTGACCTCAAGCGCCTGGCAGCAGGAGACCTAGAAGGCTGCACTGTGGCTGTCCGGCCTTCCCGTCCCATCTGGACAGGAGGACTCACAGATGAGGAGCTGCTGGGACTGCCCAAGTGCTGCCAGCCGGACGCTGCAGACAAGAACTCGGTACTAGAGCCTGGGAGGCCAGCATCTGCCGGCAATGCACTGAAGGGGCGTGTGCCGCCCGGAGACAGCCCGCCCGGCAATGGCTCGGGCCCTCGGCACATCAACGACTCCCCCTTTGGGACTCTTCCCAGCTCAGCTGAGCCCCCAATGACTGCTGTGCGGCCTGAGGGCTCAGAGCCACCAGGCTTCCCCACCTCAGGCCCTCGGCGGAGGCCGGGTTGTTCCCGAAAGAACCGCACTAGAAGCCACTGTCGTCTGGGTCAGGCAGGCAGTGGGGGTGCCGGTGCAGGCGACTCAGAGAGCTCGGGCACTCTGCCCACCTTGGCCTGCAGCCTTGTGCACCTGGGCCTTGCACTGGTGCTGTGGACAGTGCTCAGGCCCTGCTGACCCCCAGGCATGAGAGTGCTCAGCAACCAGGTGTGTGTACATACGGGGTCTCCCTCCACACCGCCAGCCAGCCGGCCGGGTAGCAGGCACCACGGGACAGGACAGGCCCTCCCCATTGGACACCTCCTGCCCACCGCCCCCATCTCTACCCATCATGTTTACAGGGTTTGATGGCAGCGTTTGTTCCAGAACGCTGCCTCCCACCCAGATCATGGTATATAGAGATATGCATTTTATTTTACTTGTGTAAAAATATCGGACAATGTGGAATAAAGAGCTCTTTTCTTAAGCTATGGCCTCTTGGGCTGAGGGTGTTGTGGGTGGTGAGAAATGGGAGTGAGTGCTAAGGGGAGCAGGCACTCCCCCAGTCACGAGGCCAGAGGAAAAGGGAAGTCACACAGCCACACAGATAGCTTGGACACCCAGGGTGGTATGGTGCCCTGCCATCCTGGCCACGCAGACTCAGCTTGCTCCAAGGCTAAGGACTGAGCCTAGCCAGCTCCCCGAGGGCTGGGCTGACAGCACTCACCCACAGGTCTGGACAGGGCAGCCTTTGTGCACGCATCCCCCTTCCCCAGTCAGACCCACCTGAATGGCCCCCAGGAGGAGGCTGAGGGCACTGAAGTCCAGAAGGACCCTGCTCCTACCACTGGGGTGTGGGCAGGAGTGGGTGGCCCTGAAGGGCTGTTGGGGCACTGCTGCCCATGGTCGCAGCCCACTCCCGCAGCCACAGCCTCAGCCTCATGTGGGTGTGTCCAGGGCAGCCCCACACCACACCCAAGACACAAGCCCTCATGGATCTGCATGCATGTATACACACAACACACACAAACTGGAAAGGGCAAGGACCACGTGGACACACACATGCATGACACATGTGCTGGCAAGTGGCATGTGCAGCACAGGTAAAAATATGCACAGGCACACTTTCTGGAGGCCTGGGCTGGGAGGACTTGGAGACAAAGGGAAGGGCCACGTGGCCAGAAAGCCATCCCAGGGAAGAGCTTCCCCCACCCCAGGACAGGGGCTAAGGAGGGGGAGAGGGAGAAGTACATGGTGACGTGGGGGAGAGAGTGGGGGAGCATTGCTGCAGAGCCAGATGGCTGTGGGGGTGGTGGGGCTCCATAGCCGGGGGAGGAGCATAAACTTGGCAGCCAAGGCCCCCACTCCCCCTCCCCCAGCCTGCCCAGGGTGGGGGCTCAAACCAAGCCTGACTCAGGATGCCATGGTCCTATCTGGTCCCCCTACCCATCTCCTCCTGTACCCTCTCCTCTTCCCGGACACCCTTGTGCCTGTGTGTCCCAACGCTGCTGGGCTCTGAGTGCTGCCAACACCTCCACCTGCACTTTGCCCTCTGCACACCTGAGCTCCAGGGCTCCTCGCCCCGTCTTGGGGCTGACAACAGCCAGTTCCTATGGAGTGTTGTTTGCTCCATCCAGGCTCCCCCAAAGCTCCTCTGGGCCTGGGAGACCCCACCACTCCCTTTCAGCAGCCCCAGCAGAGGCAGCTCTGTACAGCATGATGTTGAGGCAATGGTCCACCTGCATGGCACCCTCAGCACTGCATGTCTCTGCCTGCTCTCTGTGACCTTACAGTCAAGCCCAGTAGTCTGCAAGCCTATTCCTGGTGCTGATGGGCAGATGTTTCTTTATCCAGTTCCTCCCAAGCAGCCCCCTACTGTGCCCAGGAAGACACAGCTAAACTTGCTAGATCTGGGGTAGGGGGCAGGGCTCTGAAATGAGGCAGAGTCTTTTGCATAGAAGCCACAGACACTGTGGGAAGAGCCTGGCGGCCTTCCTGAGCTACCCATCTACAGTGGACTTAAGTGTCTTTAGTGGCTCAAGGAAGGACAGCAGGTCTCACCGCAGCTTGCACACCTCCCAAAACAGGGAACTCACTACCTATGCTGGGTCCACTTATCAGTGAGAGGCAGGCACCTGTGTGCCCTCAGGTAGCTTTCAAGCTGACTGTATCTGTCACCACCAACTGGCCCTCAGATAGGAGCTGGGAGCCTGCAGGCTTAGGTGGCAGCTCAGAAGGCTACAGGGTCCCACACTGAGCTGTGATCAGCTGACTGCCCTGAATGCCCTGTCTGGACTCTGCCTCTGTGGTAACAAATTCCTCCTCCTGGCACTGCCAAAGTCCCCAGCCCGGCCCTCAGGGCTCTGCACCTGCCCTTCCAGGCCACAACAGGGGTCTGTTCAGTGGCAGGGTTGGGGGTTGGCCGAGGTCTGGCCAGGCCTAAGGAGGGGATAGGAGGATCTAGAAGGAAGTTGAGAGTTTCAAGTTAGACTCAGCAGGAAGCGTGGATGCCTTGATAGGGTGGGGGCGGCGGCAGTGCTCCCAGGCGTCTGCCCTGAGCAGCCGGCATGGGGTGCCCCTCCCCAAGGTGGGGGCGCTGAGAGGAGCGGCCGCCTTGTCAAGGCCCAGGAGACATCTGGGCGGGGGTGTCTCGTGGGCTGTACAGGCTGAGCTCAGGAGAGGGGCCCGGCTGGAGGACACATTTGAGAGTCGTGAGCAGTTGGGTGATATTTACAGCCCAGGAAGAGATGAGCTCACCGGCCGGTACTGACGCGGGCCGGGAGGGGGCAGGGTGCTGAGCCAGGGCCCAGGGGCTCAGTTCGTCTGTGCCTACCCCAACCCCCTCCAGCCATGCCTGCTCCAGCCCTGGCCCAGCTGGTGACCCCAGAGGTTAAGTTCTGAACTGGGCAGGTGGCTGGGCAGTGGCTGATGTCAAGCTCCCATCCCACAGCCCCTGAAGCCTATGCAGAAAGGTAATTAAAGCCATGTGGATAGGCATCGGGCGAGTCAAACCCACTGGACACTGGCTGCAGGCTGCTGGCTTACCACTGCCCCTGTCCAAGGTGGCCCGGCCAGCTGCCGGGCAACCTGCAAACAGAATACTTCACAGCTCTTGGCTTGTCCTTGTGTCTCATGGTGGTGCCACCAAGTACAATTGGTGGAGGGGGATACCTGGGCTGGGCTCACAGTCGCTGCAATAGCCCTGCATGATGGCTGCTTCTTATCCCAGGAACGCTGGAGGGCACTGAGTTGTCCCTGGAGCTGCCTTGTGCACCCAGATGCCTGGGAGCTGCAGGGTTGACAGTGTCCTCAGATGGAAGTGCCCGCCCTGTTTATCTGGCTGCTCGGGGCTTTGCATAGTAATTGGGAGAATTATTTTTTAATCCTTAAATTAGTCCTGAAATAATAGAAGCAGTGGAATTTTCAGCAGTTGACAGTAGACTAATGTCCAGTGAGACCAAGCACATGCCAGAAACAAGTTTAGAGGGAAGCAAATGTTTATTTGTTGCATGAACTAGAGCCCAGGGGCTGGTCACAATGGCAGTGGGGAGGGGAATGCCATCTGCCTTGGTCCCCAGCCCCGCTCCCAACTCACAGTCTCCCCAGCATGGGGTAGGTCTTGCTGGGAAGGCCCTGACTGTTCCCAGGGTGCAGATGGGGAAGCTAAGCCCCAAGGCATGAAGGGATGTGTAGTGCGGAACTGGACCTGAGGCCATGCTCAGTCAGATACCTCCTTGACAAGCACGGCTTCTCCATCCCAGTGCCTGGGTCATCACAGGACCCTGGGCACCACTCTGTCCCCTGTGCCAGTCACCCTGGGATGTCCCTGGGTGTGGACACACCCTGAGCTGTGGTGGAGACCTGACCACTGCAATTCTGTGTCTGATCAGCATGGACTTTGGGCCACCTCTGGCCACAGTGAGGAGGCCCAGCCTTTGGCTCAGTGTCCCCCAGGGGGCTGAGCCAAGCCTGGAGTCCCGAGGTTTAGGGCAGAGCTGGTGGGTGGAGGGGCAGGAATCTGCCCAGCACTGTCTCCCCAGCTCTTGCTCCCAGCTATGGCCATAGAACTGCTTGGAATTCTCTTCTCGACACCTCCACTTTGCTTGATGCTCAGCTCTGACACCACCCCTTCCTCCAGGAAGCCCTCCCTGATCCCCCAGACTGGTCCCCACTCAGCCGGTGGTCACGGAGCAGATCCACAGTGTCCAGACCCACACAACCAGGGCTCGGGGAGGCTCGAAGCTGGGGCCAGATCACTGCACTGCAAGTGGACTTTGGTTTCCTGCCTGGTGTGAGGAATGAGTAAATCCTCACAAAAGGGGACCCTGCTTGGGCTGGTGCCAGCAGGGCTCTCAGACTACTGTGATGGCAGAGACCCCCAGCTGAGGCATTTCTGCCACATGGTCTGAGCCCTCCAGCTGCCCCCTACCCACAACCTATCTTCTCAGTTCTCAGGCCCCAGTAGGAAGCTCACACCTGGATTTCCAGGTGTAGGCCGGCTAGACCATCCTCCAAGGCCATGCAGTAAGCAGTGAAACTGGGCTATGCTAGGCTGGTGGCCTAAGCACCCTCACCCACTGTGAGGCCCCTGCAGCTGGCTTAGAGACCCCAACCCTAACATCAGCTGAGCACTCTCTGAACAGGGGGCTTGTCCTCTGGCTCTGGTGGCAGATGGCACACAGGGCAGCCTGGGGCCTGCTGACATGGGGCAGGGTAAGACTCACAGCCTGACATCAGGGTGTCAGGGTGACACCAGGTTACCTAGCTCCTTGGGGGCCCTACCCCTCAGCCAGTTCTGTGGATGAGCAGGGTAGAAGGTCCCTCATGCCCTCAACCAGTTCCCATACATTTATTATGCACCTACTATGTGCTATGTAGAATCTGTGGACCTTCTTCCTGGGGTAAGCCAGGAAGCACTGAGGCTGTGACATCACTCTCAGGCCACCTAAGCAACAGCGGGTCCGTGCCTGGGCCTAGGCTACTGCCTGGTCACATGGACATGGGAGTCCATGCTATATGGTCTGGTTTGTGGCGTCCACACAGATGGGTGCATGAGAAAGGAACGGCTCGTTGTCCCTGTATACGGCCCAGCCTGGGTCCCCCAGACAAAGTGGGCAGACGCCACGTGGCACTAGCCCAGCCCACACTAAGTCTCTCCTGCTGGGGCAGCCTCCACAGGGAGGGCCAATTAAACCCACCGCCAACAGGCCAGACAAACACCAGGGAACAGGAGGCCTCAGATTTGTCTTCACAAAGGGCTGTGCAAAGATTTATGGGCAATCTATCTCGGGGCAGGCAGAGGAGCTGTGGCTGGGCCGTCAGGCAGGGGCAACCGCCTCGGATCCTAGGCATGAAAGCCGCATTAATGATGCCTGTCAAGGAGAGACAAGGCCGAGGCTCTCAGGGCTGCTCACCAAGAAGGAGAAAAATAAATATGAACAATTAGACGATGATGAAGACCTAACAGGGAAATACCTCGATACACAC